AACAGCACAAGATGGAAGTCACCCCACTTCCACAAGCAAAATCTACCTCCCCACGCAGCCAGCATCCTGCCCTGCTCCCCTCAGCGCCCCCTGCTGGGAGAGGCCAGGGCTAGAGCAACCAGGAGCTCTCCCCACTCCCAGTCAGCTTCTTCTCTGCTCCCTGTTGGTAAACAGCTGCATACAGTGGCATTGCAGCTGTGCGTGCTAGTGTCCGCACCCTGGCTGGTGGGTGTGGCTGTGTGTATTCTTATGCCATTCTTCTATTTGCATACACAACAGTGAGTCCCTTTCGCAGGGCTGTCTAGGCTGATGGTGAAGCTGTGCATACATGGACATCCCCCGGCGAGACAGCATGTAGGGTGCGGGCATGTTTCAGGGGCTGTGGGCTTGCTTTCTGCACTCTGGGCTGTGCCATTTGTATCTGCCACAGGGGTGTGTGGTCGGTCTGTGTGTTTGGAGCCCGAGTTGCGTCTATTTGTACAAGATGAGCTGAGCGTATGCACAGATTGAGTTGCTGGGGGGGGGTATATAGGCATACAGTGTGGTGAGTGTGTTTACGGCGTGGGGGGGCAGAGAAGTGTGTGGAGTGTGATGCACTGTGTCGTGTGTTTGTGTTGTGCTGTGCGAATGTGTGATGCTGTGCAGTTATGTGCTTTGGCGTTGCAGAATTTCAATCACTGCAACTAGCAATCCCAGCACCGTGCGTCTCCCTGCCAGCACTCCAGCTCCCCCAGCCACGGAAGGAGACAGATGGGAGGGAGTTTTCAAGTGTGCGGCAATTCAGATAAAGCATGAGGTGAGTGTCTGCAGGAGATCTCTTACACACACAACAGTCCTCCCCCGGGAACAGCCCGGCTCTTGTGTGTCTGTGCCGTCTGCTGTGCGCTTCATGTAGATGCACATTACTTGGCTTGTGCGTGCTGAGCTGCGTGTATCTGAGTGACGGCATTTTCGTATGCTCCATTGTGTTCATGTATACGAGTGAGAGGCTGTGCTGTTGGGCACGTTCCAGCGTGTGTGTGTGAGAGAACACATGCATGTGCCCTGACACTGGTGTGGGATTATGTCCATTGCCTCTGCAGTAGGGTGTGTGCTGCTGCAGCTGCACCAGGACCCAGTGGCATGAGGGGATAAGTGCAGTGCATAGTTGCAACTGTAAGACTGGCTGGCTGCAGCTGAGCCTTTACAGCGACATGTGGTGCTACAGTTTTGCAGCTGGGCAGTTGCAGGGATGGGTGGATGCAATCGTGCAGTCAGCCCTGCATGTGCTGCTACAGCGGTGCCAGGAACATGTATTGCAGCTGCAGGAGCCCGCTGCAGGCAGGGTTCAGGAACAATTTGTACAGTGGGGGCCCTGAGAGCCACTGGACCCAAATGTAAACCCTACATGTGCTGGAAACCCCTGCAGCAACAACCGTGGTTCCAGTATCTGCGGGTGCAGGCCTGCTGCCATTGCTCCTTGGCAGCATCCAGGTGTATGGGCACAGCCAAATCACATGCATGTTTCATTGTCATGGCAGTGTCCTGTGGGCATTTGGGTGACTGGACAGCGTGGTTAGAAGGGCCCTGCAAACTTCAGCTGTTGCCACAGCCATGAAACAGCACATCCCTCCTCCAGCCGGAGATGCCCAGGGAGTCATGGTCACTCACTGGAGCCCTGCAGGGCTGAGCCCACCAACAGATACTCACCACAGCACATACACCTGTGCACACGTGTCCCTGTGCACAGACACACACGCCCAGTCTCTGGATACACCTCATGCTTGTCATGCGTATAGACACATACACGCAGTCTCTAGATATGCCTGTGCACAGATGAACAAAGGTGCTCTGAGTCTACTCAGAGATCCATACATTTTGCCACACACCTTACCAATAGCTTCGTCAAAGGATGTCTCCACCCTGCCTTTCCTGCATGCTGTTTCATTCCAGTCAAATCTGCACAGGCAGGAAGACACCACTTGGGGTTACCCCATACCTGCCTCCCAGAGAGGGGAGCCAGCAGCAGAGGCAGCCCAGGGCACAGCTCGGGCAACGACACATAACAGGACAAATGGAAAGAGGTGAGGAAACAGAAACAGGACAAATGGAAAGAGGTGAGGCGACAGACCTCCTCCCCAACACAGCACGGATTCAGCACGCAACACTGCCGCCACTTCCATCATCGCTGACTCCTTGCTCCCTGGATATTACGTGGACAGAATGAGCAGAAGGTGCACCCCATACTGGGAATTCGGGGACTGACTACAACTGCCTGAGAGACCACACGGCACTGTCCCTTTCCTGGCCTCAGTTTCCTCATCTGGAAGTGGGAGAGAAAAACATATCCACAGTCTGAACAGCCAGGACTCAGCTCCGACTGCATGTCTGATCAGCACCTGAGGCGATGGGGGTACCAATGTGAGGTGAGTTCTGTGCACCCCCTCTCATGCCAATTGCTGAATTTCAGCATTGGGTAAGCAATTTCTGTATACGGAGCTACTGGAACCCACTCCAGAATTAGCTGCATCTATCACAAGGCCATGTTTTCCTATTTATACAGCCCCCCAGACTTCACCCCAGAGGCAGCTGCATGCAGGGCAGTGTCATCTGTCAGCCTGTCCCGTCCCACAATAGCCATTTTCCTTCCAGAATCTCCTGATTAAAATCAATCAGAGCCTTTTGTATATTAATGGCCTCTCGTTTGTATTGAATGCATCATTAATGTTAACGATCCCCGGGAGCCCCCCTCCCCTTACCCGGGCGGGACGTATTAATTGCTCACGTCCTAATTAAATATTGAGGCTGAGAGTTGGCTCTCTCCAAACAGGCCAGGGGGGGAGACTGATTGCAATGCAGGGACTGGCACCAAGTGCCACCAAATAGCATCCACAGCTACACAACCACAATCACACACCCACATAATCACAGTCCCACATACAATCACAGAAACCTAGAACTACACAACTGGAATCCACAAACACATGATCACTATCGTATAAACACGATCACATATACAGTCATACAGCACACAGTTACACGATGCACACACAGTACCTCACAACAGCCATGTGCACAATCTCCCACAGAGAGACAATCCCACAGACATGTATCAGCAAGGCAATGCTAGTCACAGACTGTCACACACACAAACATCCACAACCATAGTCAAGCTAGAGATAAAAGCATACATTCACAATCACAGCCACAGGCAGAAAGGCACAGACACAATATCACACTGGAGATAACTACATGATGCTCTCACATTCAAGAAAACAATCTCCCACATGCACATGTTGTCATGCACACACATTATCAAACTTGAGGCAGAATCACTTGCATGTATCAGTGACACACACACTATCACACTCACATATTGGCACAGTCACATTCACTGTCGCACAATCACAGCAACACATGTGTACACAGTCTCACCGCCCAAAAGACTCCCAACTACCCCTCACAAGGAAGGACTCAGTCTTTGGCTCCCCGTCACCATGATTCCTGAATCACCATGACATCCCCCCAGATACTACATGAGAGAGACACCCCACAAACCAGGCCAAAAAGATGAAGGACAAAGTACCCACCAATCAAGAGAATGAGCTTTAAGGGGGGTTGCGCTGGGAGCCAAGAGTCCTGGGTTTTACTCCCAGCTGAGGGAGGGCAGTGGTGTCGAGTGGTGAGAGACTAGAAGTCAGGACTCCTGGGTTTTCTCCCCAGCTCTAAGTATATCTCCCAAGACCGGGCTCACCACACATCTTCCAATGCTCAGCCCAGAAAGACGTGACTGCGGGCAGCAGGGCCAGGTCATGCTCCCTGGAGCGAGACTAAGATGATGTCCCTGCAACAAAGCAGGGGGAAGCAGGAAGGCACGAACACTCAGAGTCTGCTCAGCTCTGGCATGTAGCCACCAGGAGTTAGGGTGAGCCAGCTTGTTGGAGAATCCCTGAATAAACAGGCCCCATACTTCACCCCAGAGCTGGGCCACAAATCCCTGTATAAACAGACCCTATGCCCCACCCTAGAGCCAGCTGCATCTTAGCACTGGGTGAGGGATCTCTCTATGAACAGCTGCCTCTAATCCATTGGGTGCCAGCAGTAGAGGGTCTTGACCTGGATATGGCAGAGGTCAACAGCACAAGGGCACGGAGAGGGGAAGTGCACAGCTAGTCAGTGGAAAAGCTGGGGACAGAACCCAGGCGCGCTGCCACTCAACACCACATTCCCATCCCCCCAACTAACCACTAGACCCCGCTCCCTTCCCAGAGCCAAGAATAAAACCCAGGAGTCTTGGCTGCCAATCACCACTAATTTAACTGCTAAACAATTCGGCCTCCTCTTAAACAATGCAAACAGGGATCCCTCACCCAGAGCTGAGATGGAGCTGCCTCTGAGATGGGGCACACCCAATATTTGTCATCCCCATATAAATGGGAGAACTGGTAGAAGCATTCTGCTCTTGGAGGCAATGCTAGGAGTGGGGAAGGTAATGCTGACCCCAGAATGGTGCTAGGGGACGCTGTATTGCTGGAAGGGTCTTCCTTTCACATGAGACATAAACCAAGGACCTGACTGTTCTGGGTCATTAAATATCCTCTAGCACTTTTCCCATGAGTCCTGCTGCAACCCGTAGCTTCCTGACTATATCCCAGCCCAGAGAAACCGGCCTCCCTAAAATTCCCTCCTGCACTTTCTGTCAGATACAAAATTTCCCCCATACAGTTCCTGTGCTAAACTAGCCTGCAGTGCTGCTTTTAACTAGCCCCTACCCCAGAGGTAGCTGCAGCATCAGCCAAGGTATCTCAGCATCAGCCAAGGTATCTTTCCATGAATAACCTTTGTGCCCCATCCCAGAGGTGGCTGCATTAGATGAGCAGTCTCTGTATAAACAGCACCCAGGCCCCACGAGGGATGGCAGCATCTCAGCCTCAGGAGAGGGGAACACTTGACTGCAGAGGAGCATGAGAGGGGCTCATGGGGAGCTGTCTCCCTGCGGGGGAAGAGGGGATTGCACTGACCTTTTGATGTGTGCTGCACCTCACTGGCTCCTCTCCCTTCCCCCCCTTCCGAGTACAGAATGGACCCTACTGGAAAAGCAGAACCACAGGATTAGGGAGAGGCACTAACGATCCTTCTACCAGCTGCTGATACCCCCATTACCACACTGCAGCTGCTGAGACACCCTCCCCAGTCACCACTGAATCCCACACACTACCATGGGGTTGGGGAAATGTCACTCGGTGTGTTATTGAGGGTCTCTCCTAAGCACTGGAGGCTGGTTTATTCTCATAGGCTATGTCTACACTGGCGGGTTGTTGCGCCAGTAGTATGCAAATGAGGCTAAGCGTGGAATATCACCGAGCCTCATTTGCTTATCTAATGAGCCACCATTTTTGCAGAAGAGGTTCTTGCACCAGAAGGAGCTGTCTACACTGCTCCTTCTTGTGCAAGAAAAACCCTCTTGCACAATGCCACTACGCTGATTATTTTCAGAAATAACGGCATTGTGCAAGAGGGTTTTCTTGCGCAAGAAGGGACAGTGTAGACAGCTCCTTCTGGCACAAGAGCCTCTTCCGCAAAAATGGCAGCTCATTAGATATGCAAATGAGGCTCGGCAATATTCCATGCTTAGCCTCATTTGCATACCTCTGGCACAACAACGTCTACACTGGCATGATTTTGCACAAATACTTTTAACGCAAGAGTTTTTGTGTTAAAGTATTTGCGCAAGAGAGCGTCTACACTGGCATGTGCCTTTGTGCAAGAGATGTGCTTTTGCGCAAAAGCATCCGTGCCAGTGTAGACGCTCTCTTGCTCAAGAAAACCCCGATGGCCATTTTAGCCATCGGGCTTTCTTGCGCAAGAAATTAACATTGGCTCTCTATACTGGCTTCTTGCACAAGAACAGTTGCGCAAAAGGGCTTATCCCTGAGCGGGAGCGTCAGAGTATTTGCGCAAGAAGCACTGATTTCACACATTAGAACGTCAGTGTTCTTGCGTAAGTACTCGCAGCCAGTGTAGACAGGTGGCAAGATTTTGCGCAAAAACTTGCCAATGTAGACACAGCCATAGAGTGTGGTAAATTAGGGGGCCCACTCACCAGACTGGGTATCTCCCTTCCCTCCCAAGAGTTTCAGGATTTCAGTCCCACAGAACAGCTCTAATCAGAACTTTCATGGCTCTCCGGTAACCCACCCACCACCTCACCCCAGTTCATCACCCCACTCCCTTAAAGGACCAACCTGCCCTGTGATGGAGCTGTTCTGAGGTGGAAGAGATACCTGGAGGCTCACGAGCTGGAGCAGGGGCTAGCAATTGCAGGGCAGAGCCCTCTCTGGTTGCCCCTTTGCACTTGACAAACAAATGGAGGGAAGGGACAATTAGACCGCACTTATATCCCATTCGCCTCTCCCTGAGACCCCCAGGCAGGAAATGAGTCTCAAGGCCTGGGATCTAAGAGGCACTGATCCCTCATCCCACCTGCCACCCCCATCCAAACTTTGGGGCACTCTGCTGCACCCAGTGACACTTCCAGTCACGTTGGGCAATTGTGTAATCCCCAAGCTATCACCCCATTAGTCCTGCTCGGAGAGCAGGGTGGGTGGAGTGTCAATCCTTTGGTGGAGGTTGGAACACACCCTCCTACACCTCCGTGAAGGGAGATCCTGTATGAACAGCCCCCACATCTTACCCCAGCGGTGGCTGCATCTCTACACAGGGTGAGAGACCCCAGTATAAAGGGCTTGCACATCCTACCCTGTGTTCCCTCTAAGCTGCTGGGCAGCACAGCTTCTCAGGTAATCAATCAGCCCCACTCAGTCAGTCAGCTCCCTGCACTGAGTCTTGAGCCTCCGACTGGGCAGGGCTGATTAATCACCTGTGAAGCTGGGCTGCCCCACAGCTCAGAGGGAATGCTGACCCCACCCCAGCAAGGGCTGTATCTTAGCACCAGACCAAGGCTAATGGAGTCAGACAGGTGTCTCCACTGCTTCCTAACCCTCTTCCGAACAGAGGCCTGTAATGCAGCAGCCTCAACCTCGGGGCTCATGCTGGCCAGTTCCACAGTGTCTTGGCCCCTTCAGGCTGGGAAGTGGGGCAGCAGCAGCCTGAGGCAGAAGTGCTGAACCAGCACAAGGCAGAATGGGGGTCAGTGAGATCCAGCAAGCACCAGCAAGTTCAGTATGACAGAGAGCAAGTGGGATAGGGGGGTCAGCGTGAGACAGAATGAGCAGGAAAGGTCAGTGTGGCTGCGAGCGGGGGAGTTCAGGGACGGGAGGGAGACAGAGGGAGCGAGCAGAAGGATTCAGGGAGATTGGGAAGATAGAAGGCATGAGTGGGGAGGTTACGACTGAGGATGACTGAGGGCGCAGTCAAGGGAAGGGTGGGGGGTGGTGTTTCTGAGAGATGAGGGAGACAGAGCAGGGGGGTTTGGGAAGATGAGGGAGACAGGGTGCGAGAAGGGGGCTTGGGGAGATGAGGGTGTGGGGGGTGTTTCTGAGAGATGAGAGAGAGGGAGTGAGGGGGAGTTCAGAGAGATGAGAGGATGTGAGTGGTGGGTTTGGGGACATGGAGACAAATTGTGTGAGCGGGGGGGCCGGTGTTTCCATGAGATGAGGGAGACAGGTAATGAGTAAGAAGGAATGAGGTAGAGGAAAGGAAGAATCAGAAAGATTGAGAGAACAGAGAGAATGAACAAATGCATCAAGAACTGGAAAGAAAAAGTAAATGAAAAAATAAGGAAGAAAGAACTATGCCAAAAACCGAAGGGATACACTGAAAGGAGGAAGAAGGAAGGAGTGCAGTGAGGAACAAAGAAGGAATGTGAGAGAATCCACAAAAATGAACAAATGCACGAATGAATGAATCAGAAGAGGGAGGCCAAAGTCAGAAGTGTCTGAGTCTGTGCGGGCAGGCATCTGCCCTCCGGCAGGAAGGCAAGTGGCAGAGGCGGTGGCAGCACAGGGAGAGCAGGAGGGGGAGGAAATCGGGGGCGGAGAGCTGTTCTGAGTAGCTCTGCGGGTCGGACTACTAAAGTAGTCCTGAAGAATAAGGATCATGCTTTGCTGGCCCTCGAATGTGACCCTCCTCACCCTGCTGGGATCCCCAACCCCTCCCTCATGGGGAGCGAGGAGACCTCCCTCAGCCCCACTCATCTGCTGAGACCTGCCCAACTCGCTCCACTGGCAGCAGGGCTTAATGCGGGAGGTAGATCTGGGCAGAGTAACCAAGCACAGTGACTGAAGAAGAATCCAGGAATTAGGGATGTTAAATATCAGATAATTGAATAGTCGATTCACCTCATGAATTCTTATCAGTTAGTCGACTATTCTATAGTCCCCAGGGACGGGGCCAGCAGCCTGTGCGCTTGGGCCCCACTCCCAAGGAGCCCTCTGACACTTGTTCAGGCTCTGAGCTCCTGGACCTGGTGCGAGCTGGAACTGAGCCGGGCTACCTCCCCACTCAGCTTCCAATACACTTTAAATGCAGAGCCGCAGCGGGGGTAGGTTCCGGACCCATCGCAAGCCAGCACTGAGCTGGGCTGCTGGACAGTCTGCTAAAAAATGTACTGGTGGGGCCTGGGGGTGGGTGGGAAATGTGTGTAGTTTATAGCATTAACCTATATGCTTTTTGAGGGGTTGATGTGATAGATTCCCCAGTGTAATTCAGGAGTAACCGCGCTGGGTTGTCCCAAGTCAGAACCAATGCAAGAGGAGGCTTCAGCTTTAGGACTGCCGAGGAGAGGCTGGGGTCTGTGCTGTGGTGCTGGGTACTCCCCCGTCCCATTTCCCACAGTGGGGAAGCAGGTATAGGGGGTGGGGAAAGCGGTTGTGCAGGAGCAGGGAGAAGGAGGATCACACACCAATGCAAAAAGGAACAGGGGTGTTATCTGACTGCCCCACACCCATTCTGAGGGCAGTGAGGGAGAGTAGCTGGGAGAAGTGGGGCAGAGAGATGTCCCTTGCTTGGAGGAGTCGCAGCACTGTGGGATACGGATCACGGCATTGGGAAACACTGGAGGGACACTCCTTTTCCAAAACTATTCACCCATGAACTCAGCCACCCCACAGACCTCCACAGTACCAGCTAACTACCCCTCACCCTCTCATCATCCTCCAGACACAAGCTTCCCTGCCTCACCATCCCCCTGGATTATACCACCACCCAGCCAGAAATGCCCCCTGTAACATCCCCCCAATAGAAAATCCCTCCAACACCCCCCTGGATTACACCATCACCCCCCAGCCAGAAATGCCCCCTGTAACATCCCCCCAATAGAAAATCCCTCCAACACCCCCCTGGATTACACCATCACCCCCCAGCCAGAAATGCCCCCTGTAACATCCCCCCCACAGAAAACCCCTCCAACACCCCCCAGATTACACCAACACCCCCAGCCAGAAACTCCCACTATAGCATTCCCCTGAAATTACAGCATCTCCCCCCGGCCAGAAACCCCATCATCATTCTGGGATTGCAACACCCCCCTGACCAGACACATGCCCCCATGCCATGCATAACAGCCCTGGTGGTCAGACCAAAGGTCCATCTAGCCCAGTCTCCTGTCTGCCAACAGTGGCCAACACCAAATGCTTCAGAAGGAATAAACAGAACATGACAATCATCAAGTGCTCTGTCCCTGGCATCCAGTTCCAGGTTCTAGCCATCAGAGACTTAGGGACACCCTAGGCATGGGCTTGCATCCCAGACTATCTTGGCTAATAGCCATTGAGGGACCCATCCCCATGAGTTTATCAAATTCTTTTTTGAACCATGTTATAGCATTGGCCTTTATAACATCCCCTGGCACAGAGTTCCACAGGCTGCCTGTGCACTTTGTGTAGCAGCACTGCCTTGTGTTTGTTTTAAACCTGCTGCCTAATACAGAGAACCCCTACACCATCCCTCTGGCCAGAGACACTATTCCTTGGGGAATTATTCTATGTCCCATCCAGAGACCTGCCCACACAATCCCGCTAGCCACAGACACCATCTCCCTGAGATAACTCGATAAGGCCAACCCCCGCCAGATACATACACTATGCCTATTTCTCCCCCTCCCCAGGTTCCTTCCTGCCCCTACATCCCT